TTAAACTCTCGTCTAGCGCCAATAAACGACCACTGAATGTCGAGACTCATTAGGATATACCAGACGTAAATAACGGGCAATGTATACAACCTAAAATTTATTAGTAGCAGATAATTATTAAAGCTGAGAATAATACACATATCTATACAGATCAATTATGCAATGGCAACGATATGGCATGAGTGCCCTGGAAGTGTATTAAAAGTTAAAAAAGGTATCAAAATTATTTACCTGTTGTTTTGAGCTCGACTTAATTCGAGGCTATTCCTCCGAGGCGCACTCCTAAAAAAAGCTGTGTATTAAAAAAATTGTGCGCATGCGGGGTCGATGATGAATCCCTTCCAAAAAATTCACATAACATTTCATATATATGAAATTGAGTTTCATATATATGAAATGAACATTATCATATTATATGAAATGAAAAACTTCATATATGAAATTTGATTTTGACATAAGTAAAGTGGTTTTCAAATATCAAATGCTACCTTCATATAAATAATTTCACCTTCACATGTGAAAAGTAAAGTTCATATATGAAATTTCTTTCACACGTGAGATTGTAAAAAGTTCATAATGTATCAGTTTTCGTTTTCATATAATTTTTGCGTCTTTTTCCGTATTTTTGCACATTACCCATTTGGGTTTTGGTATCAAAGAAATTTTGGTTACCTACAATCATGTGCAAAAATTATTGCGACACAGTCATTAGACTTAGTATCTACCTTCCTTTCCCCCTAAACAATGCTGTTCCGATGATACCAAGCCATTTCGTTTGCCGAAAATATCATTCTCAACATTGTCAATGGGGGAGGGGGGGGGATAGACAATAATTAAACGACATACGTGACAAAATAGTTGTCAAAATGAAAAATATGTGTTTAAAATACGTGAAATCTCATAATTTTTGCACATGGTTGTAGAAAATTACTTTCCGAGCGCAAAGCTGTTTATGAAATGCCTTGGTCGCTACAGGGACGTTGTCAGAAGCGGGAAACGCACGTTATTTAAAACTAGGAAAATTAAGGCGGATTCCGTTTGACTGCGAAACAACAAGCGTTCGCAACGCATCTTGGGCCGTTTAATATGTGACGTTTGAAAAGTCACATGCACAGTTTCCAAGGCGGAGCGTTCCATTTCTGCTTTAACACAATTGCAGTGTTGTTGAAAGAAAGTGCTTTGAAGAAAGTTCTTGTGTTAAACGGAAAGTACTTTCCCATTACTGTAGGATCGCCCTTTCGTATTGACTTTCCACATTTTAAAATACCGCAAGCGTTTCGAATATGTTTACATGCTAGATGCGCGCCAAAACCTTGGGAATTTCAAAATTCAAACGTCATATTCTAAACGACCCAACATGCCTTGCGAACTCTTGTTGTTTTGCAGTCGACCGGAATCCGCTGTATAAGTGAGTATGGCGGTAGTATCTCAAAATTCGTACTGCAGTTGTATCTTAAAATTCGTATGAGGACTGTCAAACGAGTTCACTGGACAAACCCCATGATCTAATTATTCGGCATTGCTCTAAAAAGTATGTGATTCGGAAGAACGTCTCATATTACATCACGTCTAAAACATTCTGCTGGCTGTCATAAATATGGTTTGGGAAACTTGTTTTCGCGTATTTAAATATACATCCGTGCATGTGGACTAGTCCAAATATAGATATAAATGGGATATGTGGTTAAGCTGTGTTTAAGCTGTGCATGGTTATGCTGTGGTTAAACTGTGGTTAAGCTGTGTTCATTTGGTCTATTAAAGAATTATTTTAATGAAGTTATCAGGTATTTATTGTTTGTGTTGACCAGCTTGACTTGATGTTCATATACAGGAAGTAAGTAATTGAGCGATATAGGCCGGCAGCCGGTCACATTTCGGGATTTACATATAAATCACGGTAATCACAGATGAATCACCGGCAATTTGTTCACGTTATATTGATAGAAAACTAGCAAACTAGCCAACTCTACAAGCAAACTAAATGTTTTTTACCTTAATGGAAAGATACTGTCTACAACAAAATATCCAATGCATAATAATCAAGTTGACTCATTCTAGAGAGATGTAAGAGTCTTATCTAATTTTGACTTATCCACTGTTTAAGCTAAACGAGCTTGGTGACAACCGGCCCCAGTGTAGTTAAGATAGTGAAAAGGAATGCTAGGTGCAAACGGATAAAGGGTGAAATCATGAAAAAATGAAAATAAAAATGAACTTGATAAGTGTTCTTCTTTAAATGTTAGCTAAATTGTTTTTCTTAATTATATAGGTAAATATGTCTGTGTATTTAACACTTTTGTATTCCGTAGATTTTTATTGTATAAAACTTCATACGTTTAATCCAATAAATCTTCAATCCATACATTGAAATTATGTTCTAGTTCACGTAACATGCAGTCTCTCTTAATAATTTGCTATATATAGCAGACCACACTTCCAGAATTGCAATACACTGAAATATACTAGCAAAATACCTCCCATCAATCCCGAATCATTGTTGACTAAGTCCAATTAAGGCGTGGAAGAAAATCTAACAAATATTCGGCAAAGAGGTAACGTCTTGCATGATTGATATAAACACGCATGCATGCAATGACACGCACTTTATATGCATATGTGTGTGTACGTGTGTATTTGTATAATTATGTATTTAATTTCTTTTAAGACGCTATCAGCTATATAGCTGATTTTCGTGAGGGGCGTCTATTTAGCCTAAATTAGGTAAAAAACAACTAATAAACACAAATACAAAACGAATATTATTTACAACGAAATTTTGTCTTTTGAAACCATTTATCGAATGGGCAGACTATTCCACAATACAGCTCCATTATATGTGACCCTCCACGGGAAAACCAACATTAACGGTTTGAAAAAACGGGCTGAAATACCGTTTGCTATCCGTTTTCTATCCGTGAAAATCAAAAACGGTTGCCGTTTAAAAATTTTAAACGCCCGTTTAAATTTTATTGCTTGGCGTTTAAACGGTTTGTTCAAAACGTGAAAACGTTTTCATCGATCCGTGAAAACGTTTTGGGCGATCCGTGAAAACATTTTGGTAGAGCTGTGAAAACGTTTTGCTTTGGCCGTAAAAACGTTGTGGTAAAACCGTGAAAACGTTTTGGTAGAGCCGTGAAAACGTTTAAATAAAACCGTGAAAATGTTTTATTACAGACGTAAACATGCAGGTTTCACCTTTCACCTATATAACCAGTGTAACGTTTCCGCTAGCGTGCAATTAAATATTTCCATCCAACAGTCAGGACGACCTTGTAAAGTTAATTGCATAAAACTATATAAAATGTAATAAAATGTTTATATATCAGAGGCAAGCAAAATGGGTCGAACACCAAAGTGAGATATATGTCACTGATTACAACAAATCTAGTTCAGGTTTATAATGCTTATTAAAGAAGTATGATTGATTATATGTCTATCTTTCAATAAAGTATTATCACAGAAGCGAGTTTGGGTTTTGGTCGAGGGTCGAGGGTCGAGGCTAGTAAGTCGAGGGTCGAGAGTGAGGTCGAGGGTAAAGTCGAGGGTCGATTTTTATCGCATTTTACAATCGGCAATGTCGAGGGTGAAGTCGAGGGTCAATTGTAGAAATTCACAATTTGCCTATACTAATATTGTATTGTTAATAATATTAATATTATATTATTAATATTATTATTGCTAATATTTTCTTCTACGCAATATGCGATACAGCGCAAGCTATACAAATTATATGTATAAGTATACATACAGATTGCAGTTGCAATTTATGAATCTTTGGGCATTATATTTTACAAGTCAGACTTCCAAAACGGGTTAAACTTATTAATTAATTCTCTTGCATGAACATCTTCCCATCTTGCGGTCTCACTTTTTTGTTTTTTGATTCCTGTGTCTTAATAATATCCGAGTTGTCACCTCGAATTGCCGACATAGTGGTGAGACGATGTGCCATGTGGTGTCGGTTTTCACTTTACTGAACTCTTGGCTTGGTAAATACAGCTTTCTATCCGCTAGCGAATATTTCTACTCGAATCTTTGTTATAGTCAGGACTATAGTAACACGTATTATCATTTGTCTTCATTACATATAGTAAGGAAAAATCCAGTTTTTAGCGGCGTTGCCACAATTTCTAATTCAATTTTATCGGCACTAGATGCAGGGCAAAGGGAAATCCTCAATCAGTGTGACATTCAAATTGTATCAAGTTTCTAGGTTTTCAAGATTATGACTAGATTTTGACTAACGACGTATTTCGACCCTCGACCAAAACTTCTTTTACAAAAGTTCGTTATTAAATAGATTCATTACTAATAAGTAAATTGTAGGTGCATCGCGTACGTATTCAATACTGCAAAGCATGGCGAGCTACAGCAGACTTATCCAGTTTACCTTCTCGCAGTTCGTCGTATGTTCTTCTAGACGTATTAAGAGAGAGTTTTAAGCTTTGCTTTTAAGCTTTTTAAGCTTTAAGTTTTAATTATCTTTGCAGTATAAAATATTTACGTGGTATACCTACAAGCTAATTTTATATCACTATGCAAACGTACAAGAATATTGTTATAAAAAAATTATGTTGTATTGTACATATTGTACTATGCCTGCATTTCAGTTTGAAAAACAAGCATCACAAGCCGTAACGCGTAAATAGCAATGCGAAAATAACAAATATACCATATTCTTCCTATGGGCCATGGCTATTTTACTCTTTCCAGTGTAACATGCAACTGTTTGCAGAAGCGGTGAGCTGCCTGCATGCGTTATTCACATGCAACTGTCAATTCACTTATTATAATAGTTTCGGACAACAGGGCGGAAAATATACCCTCGACATTGCCGATTGCAAAATGCGATAAAAATTGACCCTCGACTTCACCCTCGACTTTGCCGATTGTAAAATGCGATAAAAATCGACCCTCGACTTTACCCTCGACCTCACTCTCGACCCTCGACTTACTACCCTCGACCCTCGACCCTCGACCAAAACCCAAACTCCACAGAAGCGAAGACACAGCCGCCCTTGATGATTTGCCAACTTGCACTGCCAGAAACCCATCACCTGGGTCAACAGGCCCCAAAATGCTTTTTCGCAATTATAAATGTACCTATTTCTATAGTGCGTGTGAGAAGACATATAGTTTAAAATTTATTACAGCAATTAAATTCTATACACATACTAAGCAACATATCTGAGATGCAAAAATAATTCAACTAATTATAACGAGAGATATCTGGTATTTGTTATGCAAATACTTATATAGATATAATAAATACGCACATTCATGATCCATTTTGGCAAAAACAACTAATTAATGCGTTATAGGATCGTGTGCGAGTTTCCTGTTATATTATATCAGACACTGACTTTTATATACGCTATATTACACATTTTCACAATATTTTCAACAAAGTGCATTTAAACAATCTTCGCCAGTGCGTGTCGAAGTTTGAAAATGGGTTGGTAAAAAATCACGATCGGTATGATATATATAAACTCGCCGTTTTTCTGCCATATCGATCGCTTTTTAGACTAGTTATATATGCTTTAATTTTGAGAGCACACGACTACACAGTCATAATAGCCTTATGCTGTATAATCAGATTATTCTAATCCGTACTTAAAATTGACGCAATATTTATGTATGTTATTGAAAAGATTTGACCTCTGTAGGAAAAATATGAGCTCTATGTCAAATCTTACTTAACTAAGAATTCTTGGTGGTCACAAAATATCTCTAAATATTTCATAATGAAATACTTTATCTCCTTCCATATTTTAGAGCATCTGCCAAAACTTTAACAGTAGAATATAGCTAGCATGTTATCTGAATAATATTATACGCTATCTGCGCTACACTGCATGAAAAAAAGTTTTTGTTAGTTGAATATGGGATCGAAGGCCTGCGTTCTGTAATCCAAACGTCAAGATTTCCGCCCTGAAAAGCAACTTAATACTCCATCCCGGCGCAAAGGTGCACAATTTTTTAGCCAAAACATATAGCAATTACATATACTGCCCTTATAGAAACAGCGGATCGAAACTGTCAAAAATGCGCACAATTTTTTCTGCAAAGCATATAGCAGTGCAGTCGCCCATATAGACGCGACAATCCCAAACGCACGGACAGGGGAGTTTATACTCACCATTATAACAAAAAATCAATCCACATCATCTTCGAGACATCTAATTGTGACACAATTTGTGCCCCCTGCCTACGATTACCCGGCAAGCAAGACTTCTCCAGAAACATTATGTGTTGATGCATAAAATGTATCTACTGACTCTCGTGTCTGGAAAAATCTTATTTGCCTGTCCTGCCTGTCTCAGCTTAGGAATTAATAAGGTTGCATCTACACACAAATTACTTAGGAATTTGCATGCAATTTTTGGTTAAGAAAAATTTCTGGTGTTTGAGTGCAGATGCACCTATTTATGTTATCTCAGTTTTGTGACCACCCAATTAAAGTACTCAAACCTCTTTGAACCTCTGGCAAACGATGTTCGATTTTACGATGTTCGACTGAGCCAAAGTGATCTTGACCAAACAGCAACTTTCTTTTGTCATATAGTCTACAAAAATTTCATATAAGCTTTAGTGCGCACTTAACAAATAAATATATATGCACACACTTAACAAATAAATATATATGCACACAAGGCAAAAAAAATAAAGTTTTGATCGAGCCAACAGTAATACGAAATCTGATGATTCATGATTTCATCGATAGGGCCTGATTTCAATGCTTGACGGGAATTATTTCCAAGCGCGACTGATGCATAAAGTATTTTTAATCAAACATGCCTTATATCAAACACTACAGTCTAGAAATTAATCAATATGTGTTCATACCTTTATATGCACGTGTTAAAACACCTCGACGTATCCATAGATTTGAATATCCAGCAAATATTTGGGATAGGACTTCGCGAAATTATTGGTAAAGATCTTTACCCGCGTGCTTATGAACTTGATTGGCGCCATTTCATATTTGTTCACTTCGCCGATCCCGTGCGCCGATTTATATAGCTGGCAACAGCCTTCAAAGCGCAAATGTGCAATGACCATACATGCCAAATGCATGATTACAATTTAATATCCGGAATGCAATTTCCTTATAAAGAGAACCGAAATCAAAATTAGTGAATATTTTCCTATTGTCCAAGCAGCTGTTAAATAAGAATTCTAATGTTTATTTTCTGTGAGGTCAAGCTTAAATGTTTGTAAGACCTATGATAATCGAACGAAATGGGTTTCTTTTAGATATAACTTATCGCCATTCCCAATATTGTATTAGGCTTACGCTGCGGCATGTCAGCTGCCAATTTTACCAATTGGGCTTGTGCCAGTGTGCGCAAGGATTGCACAAACTTGGTAAAAACATAGCGCTAAAACTTTACCTCGTAAAACACGCAATTTGTAGACCGTGTCTTTCATTGCTTATGCTCTAGTTTAATATCCAGAAAGCTTATATATATAGTTAAATGGTATAATATCGATTATAATTTCTGGTTTGTTATATTTGTCACATGATCCTGATTATTTTGAACAATTAGTATGGCTTGTGTTTTGTGCCTATCAAAGTTTAGCTACGCTAAATTTCAGTGAGGAATATTATGATGTTCATTGGGCGACTTCCTTGTGGTTCTATTTTTTTCATTACTTTCATACAATCTATATCATTTGTACAATTTGAGCTTTTCCGCGTTCCACGTTTCCGATTCGAGGAGCTAGTCGAGGGAAATCAAATTATAACCAAACATAAGATGCCTGATTATAAATGTGCTTCAGTGCTTGGTGCATCTGACTTTGCCGAAAGTTGCGAAGTGTTTTATTCGGATCGCCCTCGGCCGGTGAACATCGGCGTCCACGATCAAGCGCTTCAAAAGATCTATGTCTGTTGTTGATACAATTATTGCGATATAGTTTAATAGTTATTTACATTTATTTCATTGTTTACACAACTATATAAGGGTTTTAATCATTGCATACTATAGATATGCAGTTATCCGCGGTTTTGCTCCTATACTATCAGGCTGCTTCGTATCTATCCCAATGACTATTTAAACGACTTCCAACAACCACACAACAACTATGCAATTCTACGTAATGCTGCTTTTAAGGTATATATGGCTAGAGACGTTGCATGTTTGTGCGCGCGCTGAACTTTGGCTTTATGGAAACAACAAAAGTATTAAAGCATAGATTCTAACCATTGCATTGCCGCGGCATTAAAAAAACAATCAATTTTTGAAAGAAAGCTTTTTCAGTTTATGACTTGAAATTTGACCTTAATGACATAATTGCATGCACTGAACGCTAAGAGAAATCTTGAAGCGCACGAAATAGCATTCGATTCGGCTAAAATGATGTAACCCCTCTACAAGCCTTCTGTTAAGGAACTGAATACGTTTCTAGGAATATTATGTGTTACACATTCGTCGCTTCTTCTATAAAGTTGTAACATTGCAAATGTTTAATCTAATGTTCTACCAAATCCAATGCGATTGAACAAAATTCCAGCAAACGTTCCAACGAACGGTAAATCAAAACGGTTGAACGCTTTTGGAACGATTTTCGAACTTTTTTTCTCGAGGCGTTCAAACGGGCAATTTCGAACAATGAACCATCTCGAAAATCGTTTCAACGAACGCAAGAACGCTTGAATTGAACGGGAACGAAACGAATGAATAATGAACAATATTTTTCAAGGAACCAAATAGCGTTAACGTATGTTTATGTGTGGAAGGCCACACATAAACAACAAAGTAAATTGCTTCGCACGAGTGGCAAATCACAACTGTATGACTGTTACTGGTCTGCTTGCTTCTACTACCTATAATTAACTTCGTTGACTAGGTACATATGACATTGATCAAGTAGCTATTTATGTGTAGCTGTCAACGGAGCGTAATTAGCCCTAAAGCTGTTGGACTGCATGTATAATAACATATGTCTGCAGTCAGTGCAGTGGCATGACTGTGGCCATGTTCTTCAGGTATATTTTGCTATTGTTTTTACAATTTTACTCCATTTTATGATTTTAATATTATCCATGCTGTACTGGGATAACGAAGCAATAAAGAGTAGTGTACGTGCGGATAGCGATCGAAGCTCTCGCTCCCTCATAGCTGAACATAAACAACGTATATAATGTTACACCCGCTACTTGCGTTTACCTGTTAATCATTTCCCCCCTCCCGGTATATCAAACATGCCCATGCAACAGACAGTTGACATATTTTACCGTTGTTTGATTTAAACACCAGTATCATGGTCTGCGATCAAAGGATTCCCCAAATCGTCTGGTTTCGTCCGTGAAATTGGGTATATAAATTCGTCAAACCGTTTATACGGATGAATAGGCCCATCCAAAAAAACGGTTCATTTTTCTGTGCGTTTAAACGGTTATTCGTATCCGTGCAAACGCTTTCACCAAAGCGTAAAAACGCTTTCTTGAAAGCGTTAAATTTTTTCATCGAACCGTTTTAACGTTTTAACGAAGCGTGAAAACGCTTTACGGCATCCGTTTACTAACCGTTTGTAATCCGTTTTTTTGCCCATTTAAACGGAAAAGCGTTAATGTTGGTTTTCCCGTGGAGGGTCACATATCTAAAGCTTCTTTTGCGTAATTCTTTCTTAGGTTTTAGAAGTGAGAGATCTGTATCATAGCTCCTAAGGTGATAGTCATTTCTGCTTTGTTCAGAAAAGAATTATCGACAATATCAACAGTGAACATGGAATGCGTAGTCGAAAATCTAACAAGCTTCACTTTATAATAAGCTATATGTGTTATAACACCAAAACGTAATATCAAAACATTAAATTTACAACACGTACGTGCGTCAGTATCTGAACTGAAAAGAACTAATATCTATTATAACGCAAATAGATTATCCCCGAGCCGGTGCGGAGCACCGTGCGAGGGTACTAATTCCGCTCGGATATTTACACCCACGATGTGCAAATGCGAAATCAAAGTCGTCCGCCATTATGCAATGGACCTCACGCCATGGACGGTCTTCTACATTATGCGCATGCGTCAGTGTGAACTACTAAGCTCTTGACTGGTCGAGACAAAAATTTGTATTTTGAAACGTCAATGAATAACTGTCATTTAGCAAAATTTTGATGAAATTTACAAATTTATATTTTCATAAATACGGAATATATGTATTTTTACTAAATTTAAGGGAAACTCGAATGAGGCCAGGACTTTTCACGGTTTAACAAATAACAAGACCAAATTTTTCACCGAATTCACCTTTTTTAATGAAGTCGGAAAATTTTACACTTGATAATATTTCACCCGGCAGAGCTTTAAAAAGTAATTATTTTGTGGTAAACACAACTTTAATATTCTCAAATGTATTTCATTATAAATCTGAATGTGTTATGTGATAAGCGACATTGTAATTTCATTTATAAATTCCGTTTTCATAGTGACAAAAAGAAAAAAAAAATCAAAACGTTCCCGTGCAAAAACCAGTCGAAGAGTAACAAAAAACTTCGGAAATTGTATGAGACGTCTGATGTTATATTTCATGGTATTTAATAATTAAAATAATTTACCACAACACTGGCTATAGATGAGTAACTTAGCTTCCAGAAAAAGGTAAGAATCTTGTCGTATTTTTGCCATTGTGAGGGTAAACTTTGATTCTTTAAAAATATACGGCCGTTGCGAGTTGCTATGACTACAGTGTTTCCACGCGCAGAAAAATATTTCCATACTTTTCTCAAATTTCTATTTTTCACATACCATGTACCCTTCAATACCCCGAACCCAACATAAATTTTCTAACAATCATGTTAACATCCCTACGCTTAACTAATTTCGTTTAACCGAGGCGAGGGGTTGCTGCATGCATGTATTTCTAGTATATACTCTAACGTTCTCCAAAGTAACATTAAATTTGTTTTCCACAGTCGACTGTTGCCAGCCCTGACCGGAAAAGGTTAGGAAATTCGTCGAGGCGATGAAAATATTTGGTTATAGAGTACAAGAGTTCTAATACGTTCTCTTGAACTAAATTATTCTTCATGTATGCCCCCCCAACTGGGGGACCAGCATGGGGGATGGAAGCCCCCAGTATATATGTTAAAAAACGCACTGCTCCTCCGACCTGATTTACCGCATTTACTGCAATAAGTGTGCTTTTATTTATATTGGAGAAACCGGTGATGAACGTCGTTACTTTGTCGATCAACAGCCGCGATAAAATGAAGTCTGTTGCCTGAAATTTAAGCTCAGGTAACCATTGTATAAATGAATTGGTGGAATTATCGTTTTTTGCTCTTTGTCTTCAGAGAGCATGGTCATATAAATTATATGTTTAGCCACATGGCCAAAATACTAAATTCACGTGCACTGTATTGACAGTAAAGAAACATGGAAAGAACGTCCCAGGCAATAATATATTTATATATCTCTACGTTTTTATTGAGGTAATGATATAGTAAGAAGATATGCATGTAGCTAAGTCTGTGTATTGAAATATTTGCGTGATAAACTGACTGAGATGATTGATGTTACAATGTGCTAGAAGACAAAATAATAAAAAAGAAAAGAAACACCTGTAATCATGAAAAAAGTGGTGAAGTATATCGTGGAAAATGTCATAATCGCAAAAAAGTTAGACACTTTGACCTTTGGTATCTACGGATCAATGAAATGGTTCTGGGTTGGATAATCGATTCGGAAGCGAATTTCATGAAGAAACCTGACGAGGTTTTTTAAAGAAATTTATAAATTTATGAATCATGATGCAAATTTCAGAGAAAATCGGTCAAGGTAAATATACTGATAATAGATAACTAAATAATGCTAGAATAAGTTCAAATCATATGGCGATATATATAAAATATAAATATATATATATATATATATATATATATATATATATATATATATATAAGATTTTTTTATCACTGCGCAAATCATCACAAAGAGAGGGGGGGGGGAAGCATGATAAAAATCCATCTCAGCACAGTGAGGTCTGTTGAGAAAACACCATTTATCACTGCATATTTCTCATTTTATCACTGCACATTCTACTTTTATCACTGCACACTAAAATTAGGTATGCTTAGCTTTCTTCACATTCTAAAATAGATTCTAAGTTTGTTACCCTGACGGAACATAAGCTTTCAAGTTGATTGAACCAACATTATAGAATATAACCAGGGAGCAGCGTGGCAGCGTCTTCAAACAACTTAGCATCAAATGTGGTATAACGATGGCCTAAAATAGACAAAACACTTTTCGACGTTTCGACCGGAGGGCCTTCGATTCTAACTCTCCGGATGAAGGCCTTCAAGTCGAAGCGTCGATAATTGTTTTGTCTATTTAGGCAGTTTTTATACGAAGTTTGATGCTACGTCATTAAAGAAATTTCATTTCCCTTCAGTTGAATAAATTATATTTGTTTTAGTTTAATTGCAAAGGTGAATAAACGAATCTGGCATTCATTAATTTGGCAAGTGGAAGGAAAGGAAAAAAACGAATAAGACAAAGAAGAAAAAATATGGATGAATAGTTAAAGTTTGAAAGGAAAAAAGGTCAATTGATCTACGAATGAAAAAAAAAATCCAAAATATTACAAATCGACGCCATCTGCGTTAATGAAGTGTGTATGATGAAAATTTCTTCCCCATACCGAAAATTTCTTTCCCATACCGAGTCATACATTTCATGCATTAGTTTGACTTCAGCAAAAACACTATAAGCAATCCCGGCCGTACAGAAAATTGGGGCGTCACTAGAACGATATATCCATTTCTGCTCGTTTCTCCTGGCATGTTAGTTATATTACTGATATTTCTGATATTAGAATGTTTTCCGTGGATGTGGAACCCCAACATAATACATACATACATACATGCTCTTTGCGGGCGGGCATCGGTAAATGTTCATATCATTTTAGAGGCTTCAGAGAGTGAGACCACTTCTCAAACTATCGCTACCAAAATCTCGTTTAACCGACCACCTTTTTAAAACTAAGGTGTAGCGCCACCCAAACATGTACCCCCGCATGCTACACCCCTGAAACGCGTTCAAGTGCATACAGTATATGTATATAGACGTTTACATCATTATATACATTCTGCAATAAAGAAAGCAATGCAGAAGGAAATCCTCTCTCACACTATTTCGTTCCACGTTTTAAGGCCAAAATTGAACTTTGCTGTGGTTAGCTGCAGTCCGTAAAAGGCAAATCTATAATCAAACTAAGCTTTTAGGATTTGCCTAAAATAGGAAACATAGCTATACATTTTATAATTATGCTATCCCACCCTTGCGGATGAATAAGAATATTGGATTTCGGAGTTGATAATCGCACGCAAACTTATTTGAACCAGGTTGTATTCCAAATTACCTTAGAGTGGGTAAAAAATTCAATAAACCTTTATTAATTATAATGACGTTAAAGCAGGGATGATTTCAAGAAAACCTTACAAGTACGTGTATGGCATTAGTAAAATTAATAGAAACCTATATTGTTAGGACATAGGCCTAGGCAAGTTCTATAATATAAGCTCTATAGATTCGCATACAGGCAAGTTTTGAAGTCCGTATATACAGTAAAGTACATACAATAAATTCTGACACGGAATTATCTTTGGTAGAATGCGCGAAGATATTCCCTAGAGAGAAATTAAACAGAATTGCCACAAGGGTGATGATTTAATGACATCGCAATTTTTCCATAGTAGCGACAGTAGTTTCTAGGAGGTTCATACGATTAAAAAAGTCACAGTAAACAGGAAACTACTTGTGTTCAACGAAATGAAAGAAAGACTTTGCTACTCAGCCACAATATCGAAACAATTCTCTGCTGGAAAATCCCATAAAAAAAAGCTCCAGACACTGGCGGATATAACGAGGAGAATATATCAATCATTCTTTGCGGGGAAAGAGTCTAGTTGGCGCCTTCACTAGAGCCACTTCATGCAAAGACAAGGACTAAAGGTGATAACAATATCCAAATTCAAGGTGAAAGATGAAATGTTCCATTCAACGAGACTTTGAGTACATGAAAAACGTTGATTTCGAATGACACAACTTGCTTAGAACGGGATTTATTATATTGCTCCTTCTGTTTACATGTTCCTCGTTCCGGGTTTTAAAGATTCCGGAGATTCCGGCTTTTAAAGATTCCGGAGCTTCTCATTCCAAGTTTTAAAGTTTCCGAAGATTCTCATTCCGGGTTTTAAAGATTTTCGAGAGTCTCATTCTGGGTTTAAAAGTTTCCGGAGATTCTCATTCCGAGGTTTAATCTCAAACAAAGTGTGCATTGCAAACTTTATGTACACACCGCCTGTACAGTTTTCTATAAGTAGCTACTTCATGTTCAAAAGACATATTACATTTCACAGTATGAAAAATTAATGCCGAATAAGTATTATATTTATTCAACAGTAGGTGATGAGATAATAAACTCCAAAAAATTGTTCTAAAATTTCTAAGATACAATGTATATGTTAGCGCTCAAAGATAAATTATACCTTCAAATGGAACATTAATTAACAACAACAATGATTAGGTACAATAAAAAAGTCAATAATATCCCCT